GGGTTAGGAATTGAAGATTCAATATATTCTAATGAAGATTGGACATAGTCACGCATACTTGTACAATCGGCATCTGGAGGGTGGTACACAACAGCTATTATCATATTTGAGTAATTTCGTGGGAGTCGTTTTGGTTGTAAAGCTGGCCACAATACTTCGTGATTATCACTATCTAACTCCGTTAGGCGGTTAGCGTTAGCTAGCTATTAAACACCAGCCGATCTGTGTAATGACAACAGGATGAACGCTTATAATTTTAAACTATATGACAATTAAAACAACATTGCTACATGGTTGTACTTGTTTTAACTATTAGCACTAACTACCAGTGACTACTTCAAGAATCAGTATTTTCGGAAAAACAAGTACTTAAAGTTGCATATTTCCATCGCCCCAGCAATTTAACGCTCCGTGGAGCGTTTTTCATGTTATGAATAATCACATTTAACTAATTTAATTTTGGCTCCACAGAATTTTTTTTAACTTGTCAACATAATTGATTATACTAAGAGAAATCATTTTTAAAAATAAAATTTGGGGGTTACCGATATCGGTTACGAGATAAATTACTTTAAAGTTTAGGGGTGGTTAGCTCACTTGTCTTTCACCACTATATATAAGGTCGCAGGTTCAAATCTCAGTGAGAACTTTCTCAATGCGACGCGATCGAACCCAGTCCTCATGTGAAAAGAGTAAAAGTCAACGCTCTGCTGAAGGTCGTGGGTTTTCTCCGGGTACTCTGGTTTCCTCCCACAGGGAAAGTTGACAGGGTGGGTTAGGCACATAGGGGGCAGATCATTAATAAAGTATGGACTAATAGCAGCTGCTTAAAGCGCCATTTGTAAGATCACAGTTTTACCTCGGCCTGCTTCACGCTTTCTTCGTGATATATTTGCCAGTAATTAACGCATGTTACGCATCAATGGAAGAGTCGATCAATGTCATCGAGAGAAACGACGCTTTAAGCCTGGTTCACAGGCGATGCCCATTGTCGGTGGTCATTAATGCATAAAATGTTTTGTGCATTTTCTTCTTCGTTGCTCACAGACAATGGATCGTAGAACATCGCCGATCAATGTGAACCAGGCTTTAAACTCATTATGTGCCATGCATTACTTGGGCAGCTTTTTTCGCGTGCGTTCTACAACCTGTTTGTCTTAACAGCAAGAGCTGTATACGTATACATGCTCCTGCACGTTACCGATCGGGCATGTTCATAAAACGTTCATCTCGCGCGATGTCATTTATAACAATATCCCAAACTGGACCATTTCATCTATATTGTTCATTTATTAATTGATGCATCTGACTCGTCTTGGGGCCATGCTTCAGTTCTTAGTTCTTAATTAACAATGCTACATGCGTATTATTGCAATGGTGTCAATTTATTATAAGTAGTAGCATGGCATTCAGGGCGATTAGTGATTAAATGTACCCGAAAGCCGAGAGAGGTTTAGTAAAAGTCCCGAGGCGCGTAGCGCCGAGGGACTTTTACTAAACCTCTCGAGGCTTGAGGGACATTTCATCACTAATCGACCGTAGTTGCCGAGGGAATCGCGCGTGGTGTGTTGCCTGTTTTGAATGCTGTTTGATTGTCTTATGATTGTGGTACGAACACTTTTCATATATACGCACGCGCAGAAACACATCTCCGTGTTCATTCGTTTTAGGCATGCGCATAAACGGAATTTTCTCCCACAACTGGAATGTTCAAGATTAGAGAATAAAAGTTTGCAAAGTGATTGTTCGAATATGTACGGGACGGTGTCGTCAGACACTGTCCATAGTTGTGCCGATGATTTTCGATGAGGTACAGCTCTCCAATCAGAGGTAATGAGGTACGCGTTTGTCTTCTAAATATCCCTCATCAAGCATGCAGGGGAAAATTAGAACTAATTTTACCACGGGCAAAATTAGTTCTAATTTTGCCCGTGGTAAAAATTAGTTCTAATTTTACTCCATGTTTTAGTAATGAGGTAAATTAGTGATTAATCGTACCTCGCGAGTAAAAGGATTTCGAGGCAACTATGATATTATTTAGTACAAATAACTTCATGTACGTTTTGACTTAACTTTATATTTTTATTCCCTTCAGGGCTTTTCAATTTATAAAAAAATGTCATGACTCATGATCATGCAAATTAACTTTTGTTTATTAATTATACATATTCGTTCGCTCTAGCTCGTCTTTATTTGTCCGATGCGTACGAGATTAGTATAGGTAATAGCATGGTTTCGAGTGCAATTTGGATATGACATGCACGAGTGAGTTTTTCAAAGACCTCAAAATAGCACGAGTCCGAAGGACGAGTTCTATTTGAGGTCTTTGAAAAACTCACGAGTGCATGTTCATCCAAATTTCACGAGAAACCATGCTATTACTTATTAATAATTTACATAAAAATGTTCGAGACAATTGTAGTTTTAACTTACGCGTTTATAGCGAACATTCCACTGGCAAAGTTTTCCTGGCTTTGTTGACAAAGTTTGTTATATCACATTATACAACGCTAACAGCTTGAAAATTCCACTCAACTATGTAATTTTGGTTAGTCTTATTTAAGGTAAATGCTTTTTCATTTAAAAATAAAGATAAAAGCCATGTTTTCCACGCGAAGGCAACTTTTACTTTGTGTAGCGCGGCACCATATTTGTTTTGTTTTGAAGCAATCTGTGACCGTTACTTCTTTACTGACTAAATTGCTTTAAACTGATTGGTTGATTTAACCATCATACAGATTTTTGCACTGTGATTACAGAAAATTGCACTGTGATTACAGAAATTGCACTGTGATTACAGAAAATTAATTGCACTGTGATTACAGAAAATTGCACTGCTGTTTGGGATTAATTGCACTGAAATCAACCAATCACAGACGAGTAATATATTTATGTATATTATTAATAATGGTAATTATTAAGAATATATTTCATTACTAATTAACAGCTGAACCGGAAACCGTATTTACATAACGTCATGTGACTAAGTGTCATATGACGAATTTTGAACAATTTTCAACTGTTTTGAACACGCGACAAACTACAACGTTCAGTTCGATCGTGTTTTACCGTTATATTTCAAGCTATTTTACACTCTAAAGTTCAATCTTCGTCGTCCGATTCGATTACAAAAGCTCGTCGTTTCTTTCGTGGTGGTGGAAAGTCTTGAGGCTTACCGAAATAACTGTTTATAGTCACAATCGGAATAGTTTGTATTCTGTGGATGGAATGCTGTCGTCTCACGTCTGGTGCCGAACAGCTGGGGCATAAGTTGGTGGGAAGAAAGGAAATCCGTAAGGCTGAAAATTCGGGTTAAGCTGATGAGTTTGTTGTTGGAAATTCGATGTAACTACTGTGGAGCTGGATGCAGGATATTTGTTGATGGACGAGGCGAGTGGCGATGCACGTTGTAACTGACGTTCAGGATTTTGTTTGGAGGCATCGTGATACCCACTTATAGGCTAATGGGAGACAGATCTCTTCTCTGATTTTCACTGATTTCATCATAGTCATCGAGAGAGGATTCGCGTGAATGGCCAGTAATTCCACAAATGACATAGCGAGCTTGTCCAGCTAGCACTCTTGAGTTTTGAAACAAGCGTCTTCCTCATGCTGTGGTTGGTCAGCTTCTTGCTCGTATTCAGACAGGAGGCCATTGATTTCACGATGTTTCCGATGGGCGATGGTGTTTTCGCCCATTCGTACTCTTGCATACCACACGTCGGCCGATTTGGGACGATTTATTATTGTTAAATACAAGGGGCCGTTGTCTTTCATGCTTTCCGGTCTTTTGGAAAGCCACATGCAGCTTGAAAAGGCGTACTGGATCTCTCTCACCGCCGTCGGTACTAAACATCATTTGTGGTGTTGATATTCGCTTTATTCTTAGACCACCGGTTCTCGTCTTTGTGGGATTTTCGCGGTATTCTACGTGTTCGCCTCTGTCTTCTTGTCGTCGTATCAAGAAGTCCTCGACATAGGAGTCATAATGTTCTTGTCGCCCCTCGTAATCCAAGTTGTTCAGTTAAGTTTTTAAAGTTGATATTTGTTAACACTCGCCCATTGTGTTCTCCTCCCAGTTGCCCTTTATTCCATAGGGAAGACTCTTCTTCTGGGGCCAGTGGATGAGCTTTATTGGGTTGTTTTCCCATTCCTTCTCGACGGAGATTTATCGCCTTCGCGTTCAATACTTCTTACGAGTTCCGAAACTCTCTGTCTCGCACGATACACGTTTTGTAACCATTTTCCTTGAGATAACGCTCAATGGCACTCTGCATTATTCTCCGGAATCTGGTTCATAATCCGTTCCGTCTCTTTTCTTAACTTCTGCATCAAACTTTCTGAGAAGTTTGTCAACTTTCTCCGGCGTCATTGTAGCGATGTTGACATTTTGGATGCGACGTGATATACACCAACTATTCAAGACATCCACTGTTTTGTCGAGCGAGTGTGTTTATATTTACAGTAGTCTATAGGACCTGTATATGAATTTGTATGCATTGCATTTAGGACAGATAATCTCAACTGTTTTAGAGCAAGTTGACCATGACGGTCGACATGGTAACACTGCCCGAACCCCAATCCGGGGCGTAACGTCCGAAACTGACCACACCCAAAAACGACGCTCTCGCCATAGTGCTATCTACCAAACCATAAAAGTTTTGGCTATTCTGAGGTGCTTATATGGTTCAGAGATGGTGCTTTTAGGGGTGGTCATTGGTAAGTGTGAAATGCCTAGCACTGATATTTCACAAGAAAATTACCATGCAATACTCATAGTCAAACGTCAATTTGTGACTTACAAATTCAGATAAACAGCAGTGGACGTACATTACCTTGTTTCCTAAATCTTTTTTATAGAAACATAATTGGTACTTATTTAAGTATATTATCACTGTTTTGCTCTAAAATAGTTAATACTTTGTGACCGAAATAATAATTTGAAATGTACCTACCTCCTGCAAATGGACGTATTTGGCCAAATTCTCCACTTTACTCCACTGTTTATCGCCAATATCGTTGAAATTCTTCCAAATATCTACGGCAGCTCAGACAGAATGGTATCAAGCACATGTTAAACAAGTTTTAAATAGGTTTCAAGCAGATCCTAACTGTTTAATTAAGGGACCGGTCATTATTTATGGTGGTGGGTGGCACCGAAGAGAAATGTTTTTCGTGGCAAAAATTTTGCTGACCCAATCATTAAAAAATCAAAAAATTGATTACCCAACCTCAAGTATCATTTAAAAAATAAATACCCACCCCTGGCCAAAAACGTTACAAAACGATGTCATTCAGTTGTCACACATGACACAAGTCCTTTACCACTTCTGTGATACGTTTGATAACGTTCGGCTTGTGAATGTTTGATAGTTTGATAACGTTCGGCTTGTGAAATTTACTGACTTTTCTGCAGTCTAAAGTTTCATGTTGTCT